AATGTGAGATTGCTTTATATCACCTGTATCGAGTGATAGGTTTCTTATGAGCAATATGCCAGAAGTATTATCTACTTATTCTTTCCAGTTTTGTATTTAAAGGAGTCTAGACTACTGCTTTGGTTGAACTCCACTTTGGGCAGGAAAGTGCCTAGAGCATGTGAGGTAAGCTAGACTGGATGCTAGTTAGAGCACACAAACGATGGGGCGTGCTGAGGCTGTTCGTTATGGCTCAGCACTGAAGCAATTGGATGCAATATACAATTATGTACTGTGGCACCTAGCAGGAAAAAGCAGAGAAATCATCATGTAAGTCAGCTGAACTTTCTAGGAATAAAACATAAAACACACCCAACTTCTGGGGTATTAGTAACATGGTGTCAGCTCCTCTCCCAGTGAGTGTGTAACATGTTGTACATATACTTTATCAGCACGTGTACTGCCATTTTGATACTAGTGACCTACACACAGTTTTCTGCGTGGAGTCAAAGAAGACACTGTGTGCTCATGAGCAAAACAACAACGTGGAAAGGAGGGTTAACAGCAGTATGCAACCTCAGCAAAACGCAATGGAATTGGTGAAGTAAAGGAACATTCATCTCTCTCCAAAATGCTCATGGAAACATGTGCATGTAATAACTCAGTTCTGCTGCCTATGAATTGGCACTCAGGCAATTACCATTTACCAGAAAAATGCAGGTCACGGTCTCCTCTTACTTTATGAGAAAAGAGCAGTCAGGGCGTATTTCCTAAGCCATACATTGTCCCGGATGCTTCACGGTTGGCATTATTGGAATGTTACAATGCCTAGACCTTGTCATTGATAAAACAAAAGTACCAAATCCCTTGGCAGTAAAACCCAATTTGTGCAGTTATAACCACCATTTAATACATGGGCCAACTAGGCAGGAAGAGCTAAACACAAATATTGCTTGTTCTGCCCTTGTGAGTCAGCTTAGCTTAATCCGTCATCTTCCATTTATATATGCCCAAAGGAAATTCTGGGTCACATGCAAATGTAGCATCTCTGTGTATGGGATGGGAAAGGGAAAACATTTTCAAGCCAGGGGCACCAGTATGTTTAAGACATCAAACAGCTGTGTGTCTAATGAATCAGGTGTGTATGTAATTGCTGAAACTGCATATAGTAAAGGAATATGTATGGATACCTTCTTGAATCAAATATGCATGCACACATATATTCATGGTATATGTAAAACTGGTGATCATTTAGTCAAGAGAAACCTTGATCGTCTGGCAGTCTCTAACGAGCAGCAGTATAATGTGCAACTAGGTAAAGAAATGAAAATATAGCTTCTGTAAGCAATAGATTGAATCTTCCAGTAGAAAAATAGTACGTAGACTTTTCAAAGAACTTAGGACTTGATGGCTTCTGCCCTGAGGAGAGCAAAACTAGAGGGAGGGATGCAAGAAACCAAAATGACGTAAAAGAATGAATGATGCTATCAGTTCTCTTATAGTCTTTACATCAGAGGGATTATGAATAATAAGCTGTCCTACTGAGCTGTATGGACTTACTGTTTTGTCTCAGGCAGAACTAGCAGCTGTATTATTCTCAGAGAAAATTCTATCCAGAAATGTCTTGGTCATAAGGGCCGCACAGGGTAAATGCCAAATCCCAGACTCATTGAGGAGTACTCATTGAGGAGTAAAGTGGTTGGCAGTGTTTCAGGTGCTCATAAGTGAGCTGTAAAGATAATACATCTTTTAGAAGGTGGTGGATATTTGCTTCTCTCTTTAACACTGCTGTTTGAATTTGTCTGAACTAAGCCTCAGCGTTACAGCAGTGCATTGGAGATATTTCTGAGAGATATGATTCTAACACCAAAGTCCATTTGCTTAAAAGAACTTCAATTTCCATCTAAAATAAAATCTTCAGAGAGAAAAACTGAATGTATGGGTCCTTTTTTTTTTCTGTCCAAAATTCTGTCCAAACAAAAACCCAACTGCAACATAACGTTGTCTTTACCCTTTATGTTACAGTTTCAAGTAGTTACACAGTTTTTCCTAAGTAATGTTTTCCAAACCTCAGTATGCAAAACATAGCTTCATATTAGTGCCAAATCATAGATGGAAAACGTATGTATAGTATTGCATTGATTTATACACGACCACACACCACATGAGCTGCCAAACCAGGACTGGAGTCAAGAACCCTTTTGACTCCCGTTTCCATGACTATGCCTTTAGAAAACATTACTTTCCGTACTGGAAATCCTTTCTGATTGTTTTATGTCAGCTAATTTTAATGTTGCTGGCCAATGCTGAATCTTTATTTTAGTTTACAAGCATTTGATATACTTAGATCTTTTATACCTCTGCTATTTGATTACTGCTAAGGTTGATGTTAACATCCTTTAGCAGTACGATGCTCACAGAACTCGCGGTCAGTAGTCCTGACCCAAATTACTTAAAAATCACATCCCCATGTCCAACGTATTTTTTTCAGGATAATTTTGAAGACTGGTCAAACCCACAAATCTTGAGATTTTTCTAAGTTGTAGGAAATCTGGATGCTGGGTTTTAGCTCACGTCCGTTATAGGGATAGGTTCGAACGGGGAGGTTGAGATCCCCTTGGCTTTTGCCAATATTTTGGTGAGGACTACCGGAAAATGTTTTGTCCTGATGTCAGGACAGTTCTATAAATTCATACTGATGAAATGCTGCATGCACATGTGGCCAATGCTCTTATCAATACCAGTCTCTGATCTGTGTACGTGGCTGACGCTTCAGCTATAGCTCCAGAGCCTTAATCTGCTTCTGAAATCAGTTCTGTGTCAGGAGCAACATGCTGCCATGGTGATAAACTGTGAGCTCCCCTACGTGAAATGTTAATCACCCCCTGGTTTCTGGCGAAGTCATGCTCATCTGCAGAGTGCCAATTACAGTGAGGTAAAGACAGAGGTATATAACAGCTTAGGTATATAGTCAGTCTTTGACCTCAGGCATGAATAATTGCAATCATTAATATAGTAAATTGTCTCTGTATATGCGTCTTCATATACAGGAAATATTCCCTAAGTGAATAGGATTGTCCTGAAAATAGTACCTAAAAATGCAAAGCCTGCATTTCCGTTTCCCAGAAGTGACTTCCCTGATTTTCCATGTGCCTCATTTCGGATAAGCATGTCATAACTGTGACAAACACATGAAAAGCAAGTTCTGTGAGAGAGCTCAGTCCGGCCATAGTGTGCAAACGTGCACTCTTGTTATTAGGTTGTCTCGTTCTTGCAGCCTGTTATTCCACTGTTTGCCGTTGACAGAGGTATAGTTTCACTACAGGGCTTTATGATCACATTATCCTTCTTCCTGAAATAGCAGCTGAGTAAACCGAATTTCCAAAGGGCCTGCCCCTGCCACTTGCTATAAGGCAGGCCAGTTGATTATTGAGAAATATGAGGCAAAGGACTCTCTTCTTCATAAGGGCTGATCACATTGCTTTCAGAGCACGTATGGTTTGTATACCAGTTATCTATTAGTAAATAAAGAAGCGGGTAAATCTGTCTGCTCCGTTTTCCAAGCAGGGCAGCGAAAAGAGGGTAAACTTTATGCTGCCCGAATTAGCAGCAGTTAAACATCAGCTACTTGTGTTGAACCCTCCCTGCTTCACTGTACATACTCATCTCCCATGCCTAACTGAACACTGAGATCAAAAGGGGCATACAAATACACATGCGGATGTTGTTTTAAAAAGCAGGCTCTAACTGATTCATTCTAGGTAAGTGCCTCTGAGAGCTCTAATTAAAACTTGTAATTTCTCTTTCCTCATTCTGGGTTCAGACTGGTGGATGCTCTGACATTCGAGTTGTTAGAAAAGACTTTATGCAGATATAATAATAAAAAGCCCTAATTATATTTCACCAGAGGAGAAAACGAGGCCAGCAAACTTATTTATACCTGTGACCTAATTAGTGATGTTAGCTGTCACCCCGTATAAAGAATTTGTACAGTTCTACAAAGAAAAATAATTCAGTCCCACAGAGAATATGTAGAGGTGCTCCCTGCAAGCCACTCCTCAGGGCGGGCTGGGCAATGGGCGGATATCGAGGACAGGGCTTGGGGGAGAATTCTCAGGCTGGTTAAGAAACAGTAAATATTTTATTATTATTATCAAAACATAATATATAATAATATTTTATTACTAATATTTATTATTTTACAAATATTTTAAATTTATTTTATTTGTAAAGGGCTGAAATAGATACTACTGAAATTTACCTGTCTTTGACCTGCAGTGGATGTATAAGTGCTAAGTGCCAGTAACTCTCTGACACTGCCTTTCCTCGTTTATCTATGGCGCCTAAAATGTGCACCCTCTGTCCAGAAGCCTTCCTGGCAATGAATCAACCTTGGTGCGAGTCCACAGTTCGACAATGAATCCACGCTTCCAAAGTAAGAAGATAGCTCTGCCCTTAAAAAATCTTTGCAGTAGATCATTCTGTTAGAAAACCCTTTAGAAACCTCGACTGACATGAATACGTTTTGTTCTTATAGCAGCGTTTCCCTTGAAAGACAATTGAGTAAGCATTGTAAAGTTTCCTATAGGCCAAAATACACATGAAAATATTTTGTCAAATTCTCTGTTGTAACATAGTTTACCTTTGTTTTGTACACAGATCCACTCGAGTCACAGATAGTCCTTGATAACCTGGCAGGGATGTTTTAAGACTTTAGTTTATTAGTGGACCGTGCTATACGTATTCCAAGTGCTACTTTACTGAAGTGGATATGCAGACGCAGAGAACAACCACCTCCTGTCCATCCTCACACATTTCTGCTTTACACTAGCTCTCCCATTCCCAGCACAAGCGGTAGCACAGGTGAAATTACCATCTCTGCATGCGTTGCCTTCCCAAATTAAGCTTCCTCGTTAGGGTATTTTCATTACTGTGTGTGTCCCAGTGCCCTCCTGTGTCGCTGCCCTCACCGTCCAGGCACGAAGCACATACAGAACACTCAGACACAGATCTGAATTTACCTTAAAAATACTGATCCAAAACTCTCTGTAGGGCTGACTGAAGGGTCATTACTTGACTTTCGGGAGCTGTTCTGACTTTCAAAACGAAAAACGGAGTCCTCCAAGGAATTCCTTTTTCTCATCGTTTCAATGGAGTTAACTGCAGAGTTAAATAAGTTCCGCTCTAGAGTGATATTTCAAAAGCACAGCGTTTCGCTGCGATAGGAAGTGCATTCTTGGTGTGACTCAAGCTCAGGCTGGTTATTTAAATCAGTTAATAAGTAACATTGACATGACATCATAAAGTGGTTTTCCTTTTATCCACAGTGCCTCATAGGCTTATTTTGAAACAAATCTCTCCAATTCTAGGTACAGTATGTCTTTGGAATATAATTATTAATAACAGCAAATTGTTTTGATGAATAAAGAAGAAGAAGGGGTGTAAAACAAGAACACTAATTCAACTAATGTTTCATTGCCAGGTTAGCGCGTCCCTGTCATAATGTTCCCTGTCACAAATTCTACTTTAAAAATTACCTACGTGTCTCTAATTATCCAGGTTTGAACAATATAATTGCATATCTTTTAAAAGTGACTATATCCAACCCTTTTGAAATGTCAACATTATTTCATTGCACTTCCACAGCACCAAATTCGTGCGCATGCATGCACATAGCTGCTATAAAATAAAGTCATTGCAGTTCAGCTTAAATACTGATAATAATTTAATTCTCAAATTATCACAAAACATCTGAACAAAACCGGTTTGTCTAGTCATTGTTTTTCTCACAGAAAATGCCAGACATTAACTGCAAACTTGTACAGTTTTCTGTTTGTTGAAGATGACTATAAAGATTAGGTTAGTCCAGAAAACGCAAATGCCATGTCTCTCTAAATTTTAAGACCTTCCGTAATGCTGAATTAACAGCCCAAGTCCTCCAGAAATTCCCTTAAACGTTAGTTAGGGTCTACACGGTAGTAAGGGTTTGTCTATGAGACTGAACAAACATGTGGAATGTAACTCTCTCTTTTGATCTGCAGCATCTATAAATAGGTTATGAAGCAACACAAATGCATTGGACTGTTCTCATGTTTTACTGGTTAGCTCACAGAAATCTAGTCTTTCGGCACAATTTGTTCTCTGGTTTCTTTGCATGACTCAAAAACTGGTCTTTCCTTTTTTAAATAGAGATTTTATTTTGTGATCAGTGTTAAGCAAACTGTGATGAAATCTGTGACAGAAATAACAGAGGGAAAATATAGTAACTATGAAAATACAGGATTAGCATCAATGGCAAGAAGCAAAGGTCCAGGCAGCCAGCACATTTCCTCGGAAGTGGAAATTCCAAATAAATATGAGGAGTCTTGAAAGAAGGAAGGCAAAAAAGGAATGAAATACACACTCTTGATCCTCTTAGATACCCTCTATGAAATGGAACACGTTGAACCAACTGTATTTAGTGGCATTGTTTAACCAGATCGAAAATTGTGTTGGACTTCTTGGTTTCCCTGACCCGCATTTTCTCATTTAACGTCTCTTTCCAGAACTATGTACAACTTTAATTTGCAGCCATCTAGGCCTTTTAGTTACTGAGATTCTGCTTGATTGTAGAATAAAACGCAAGGCTGTCTGGCTATGCAGTATCTCTGTACTTTAGTCCTCCTCTTAGAAAGTAAACAAACAGAAATATAACCTTCAACAAATACAGCAGAGTAAAGCTATTCTCCTCCTGTGGTCACAAGGAGAATTGGCCTTGGCTCTGTTGCTTTGTTCACATTCTACCCACTTCTGATAGAGAAGTCTTTATTCTTTTTAAAGAAACAAATACCCTTAAAACCAATTGGAAAGCCTCAGTGACGTTCTGAACTCATAAGCCATTAATATTAACCTTTATCTTTGAAAACAATCTATTTATATAGTAAAATGTAACGACAACCTTTTATAAAAAGTCCGAATGGCAACTGTGTTTCACCTGAGCATTAAAGAACAAGTACAGAGAGAGGGCAATTGACTTTTTTCCCTGAAAGGGTAATTGCGGGAACATTTTCACCGAGTAGCAACCATGACATGATTTCCTTCCTTCAAGTTTATACATTCTTCCTGTTGTCCACAAAAGAATTAGTTTCTCTTGCCGAGCACCACGGCCCTCTTAAAACTGCTGCTTTCCATCATATACTAACACAGGGTGAGTGTATGCTTTCTAGCCTGTAAAAAAATGACCACACTGAGTATGCCTGTGCTGAAGGGCCTCTCGACTCACCCGAGCTAGGGCTGTGCTAACCACATCACGTACTTAGCTGATGAGCCAAACGCTGTTGTGGACACACAGTGAGTATTAGTGAGTAAGCTAGGTTAGAACTAGCTCGGGCACAGCTACATTAACTTTGTGGCAGGGTCCCTGGAGTTATGTGGGCAAGCAAAATAGTCTTGTGCAATGGTGGCTTGAGAGTCTTCCTGCCCCTGCTTACTAAGAGGGCTCACGTTCGCTGAGTGTCGCAGTGGCGGCTGGTTGGACTGGTGGAAGGAAGGAAAGAGGCCTACAAAATGCAGCTCTCATGGGAGCTGAAATGGTGATAGAGATGCTGCTATAGGTCCAAGAAATGGAGCTTTGCTCTCCTTATCAGACTCAGACAAACTGAGTTTAATCCTGGTTTCTAGTGGCTCCGCACAACTGTGGTCAGATGTTTTGGAGACTGTTCAGGAGCTGGAGAAGGAGACGACAGTTCGCAGTTAGCCCTCATGGGCTCATCTGATGATGCCTGTACAAGGGATATGACTTGAACTCGTGTCATTTTTATTGGAAGGGGATCTCTGCTGTTTGATGGAACCAGAGATTGCCCTTATTTGGTGCAAGTATTTGCAAATCTTGTAGTTTATAAGCACTGTGCAAATTCTTGTGGCAGGCACTCTTTGTCTTTTTGATTCTGGGTATCCATACAATTTTCCAGTGGAGGTTTAGATCTCTATAGAAAAATGACATCTACAGACTTATGGCAGAGACAGTACTTCTTTTTTCTTAGTCACTTGTTTCAGACCTCTTAGCATTAGTTAATGGACACCAATTTTGTCAGTGTATCTTTTCGGTCTGATGCGGTGGATCAGGTGTGGGGAGAAGTTGATACTCCTGACGGTGTAGTTATCTGCTGTACACTGACTGCTCCCCGGAGAGTTGTTCATCATGCGCTGAAGAAATTGGTAACGTGACATCACGGGCTCAGCCCTGTGCCCTGTGGGCTTGAGTATGCTCTCTGACTCTTATCTCTTGCTGCCCGGTGTCATGAAAACCAGCCTTTTCCCCTTTACTTTTTGTTTCTCTTCCTCTGTTCACTTTTCTTCAACTCTGCACCCATACTTGGCCATGTGTATCCTTGTTTTTCTCAGTTATCAAACTATGCCTTTTAATTCTGACCTTTGTCACTGACACTCAGTTATCGCTTACCTGCTAGGCTGTATCTTGTTGAGTCTAGCACTGTTGCAATTGTTTCTGATAGGCAGACAGGGGAAAAAAAGCGGTTAGTGTCCTTGAACCTCACACAATTTTATTCTCAGTCTGCACAGTCACCACTGAAAGGTAACAATTTTGTGCTAAGCAAATTATAATTCTCTTTTCTTTTTTTGTCCTCCTATCTCTAGTGAATCTTTTCAAAGCGAGTTATTCCAGTAAAAGAAATGGTGGTTTATTTTTACTTTTCCGATGCCCAAAGTATTTCTTCTGGGGAAAGAGATACAGGGAAGTATGTTAGCAATGGCAATTGTGTCGTGCCTATTGTAAGTTCCTGTGTCTTATTAAATGATCTCATGCACCAGATAGGAAGAAAAAGGGATCAATTCTAGGTACTCGGAATGAGGGCTTTCACTTATGCTGAGGAAGCCTTTGTGCCTTGTGACAGGTAACTGATAAGAAACTGGATAAAGACTACAAGTTACAGTGATGGTAAAGGGAGTCCTTATTTTTATTTATATATAAATATATATATATAAGGTGCAGAAAAGGCTGGGAGTATTTTCTGAGCGAAACATTCAGTTTCATTACCATCCAAGAATGAATCAAAATTAAATCAACAGTAAACCAGCTGTTGTATTCGGGGCAGAATGTCATACCAGTGATTTGGGATGGCAGTGAACGTTTTTATGTACAGTCTTGTAACAGTTACGTCTTGGCTGAAGTGTAGCCGCAAAACCTTATAGGTTTTATAATAAAGAGCAGGAGAAGCGGGTGTTTCATCAGTTCGTACTGCATCTCAGGATTTACAGGGCTATAAGATTATGGAGTAAGAGTCTGCATAATTAGTCTGTAATGATCCCTGGAATAGCAGGGGAAAAAGCCTAGATCTATCTAATAGCCTGAGGCACTGAAGCTTTGCTTCGTTGGTTTGGCTCCCATCATTTTTGTTTTCTGTGGTATATTAAAAAGCAGCTGCTCTGATTCAGAGCTGATGTTGTCCTTCCTGGTTAGGATCGCCTCCACTTCTTTTTCTTTTTGCTGCCTGGACCAAGCCTGTGCAAGAACTGGTCAGTCTTCTCTGGTTTGCACATTCCCAAAATGCACCGTTCTTGTTTCCACAGATAAAATGCAACAAAATATGGATCAGATTTACTTCATTGTTAAATTGATTGAGACAGTCCTAGATAACTATTTCACATCTATTCAGTTCCTGTTTCTAATCTTATGTGCCTTGTTTTTACTGTGGAACTAGTGTTTGATCTCTTCAGCTCTGTGCTTAACCCACCACAGTGACATGCAGTGAATCTGCATACAGTGAGTTGTGCCTATTTCTGCATAAACTTACACCAATACTTTGGTGAGTATATAGGAAGCTACAAGCAGATATCTGGGATTGCTGTGGCTCTTTCTGTGCTGCTGTAAATACCGGAGGAGAGCAAAACTGGAAGAATCATAAGCAAGGGAGAAACTCATTTACTGAGCAAGGAGACAGAAAACTCCATGTACCAGCCAGATGCCCTGATAGAAGCAGGTGAAAAGGTGGCATACAAGAAGGTGGCATACCTAGAGGCGTATTGGAAGAGACTGAATGACTGTGGTTTCCTGACTTTTGTGGAAGCCTGCGACTGTTTTTCACTTCATTCATCTTGTTACAGAAGTGTGCGCTACATCCTTTCTGCTCTCTAGTATGGTGGCTGCCTCAGTAGATGTTGTTGTGTTCATTGCAGCCTGTGAACTTCCTTAGGCTCACTCATCCTCTGCAGCTGT